AACGCAGAAACAGAAAACAGTAATATCGTTAAACTTTGAAATACGCAAAAATATTCGCGCCAAATATTTTCAAATTCAAAAACAACAAACAAAAAACATGACCTAATTTTCTCGGCTGTCATAGCCATTAACCCTTTTCACGTGGCTCCGGTTTAACAAACCGCAACATACCGCTCAAATTCGGGTGGTAGGTATCCATCACGTCACTTTGTAACCGGGTTAGAAAACGGTATGTCATTTCTCTAACCGTTTTGTAACCCGGTTAGCTAAACCGGAGTCACGTGAAAAGAACTATTGGTCATAGCAAAGGGAAGTTCGCCACGGCAAGGCTGTGACAGAGAGTAGGTTGTCTAATAACAAGGTTACAAGCAACGCGTCATCAGGTAGGCGAAAAATTTGTAAAATACGTTGTTATGGATGTTCCGTTTCAGCTGCCGGATTCTATTTACGAGTCGAGTCGAAATTCGTATCGAATTTTCAAAATAGCGATTCTGTTTTTAGATTTTTCAACGTCCGGTACGTCCGGAGCTGTCGTATTCGATATCGAGACAATTCGAGTTGACTCGTAAAATAGAATCCGGGGGCTGATTTGTTTTGTGATCATTCATAGGTGGGTTCGGCTCGCTCACTCCGTGCACTCCGAGTGACTCCATTCGCACTCCAGCCGTTCGGGTTAAGGTTCGGGTATTGCTTTTTACCGTATTAGGGATGACTCCATTAGCTCTGTTCACTCCACTCCAACTCCGCGCTGAATAGCCGAACCCAGCTCATGTTATTATGTAGCTATTTCAAACTATTTTTAATGTAAACACTAACATACTGCATAGTTTAGTTTTGCAATTCTAGGAGTGTTTAGTGTGCGCATATTTTTATGGGTGATGTATGTACACCTGCTAAATTGGTTTAAAGTTACGTGGCAACCTTGTCTACTATAGTCGCGTTTTTATTCTCATCGGTGACTTCACCGATGAATGAGCTATCTTTGTTTAGTGAATGAAAAATGACAATGACGGCCATAGAATGGTGGATCCATCGGTAAAATTTGATGAGAATAAAAACGCAGGGTATCCTTGAAGAGACAGACTATTTTGCTTTTAAGGCCGAGTTCGGCTTTGCACTCCACGGAGCGAAACGGTATGAACAGGGATATCGTGACGGTGACGTCATATGCAGAGTGCGCCCTGAAGTCTGTGTTTTTTTTAAAGATAAAAGTCAAAATGCCAATAGTTGTATTCCTTTCACACCTAGGAGGAGCTCCGGAACAGCTCCGGGGCTTCACGCGCTTATTCCTTTCGAAAAGTGTTTGTTGCACCACGCATATGTTCCCTGCAAATCGGGGGCGACTAAGCACCGAAGCGAGTAGCTCGAGTGTTTCAAGCTCTTGAAAGGAATACAACTAAAGTTGGCAATACAATGAAAAATTGTCAATGTTTTCAAATTTTTTATATGTAGAAAAGGCTTCAACATAGTTACTAAATTTTTGACTTGGGGAATTATCTTTAAAAAAGACAGACTTTAAGCCAAACACATATCGAAACAAATCCTCAAACCCTTGCGCAGTCACTAAACTCAAAAAAAATTGTTTCGTTTTGATTTTATTTTACTAGTAAACCGTAGTAAACGAGTAGGTGAATTAGTAATGGACCTGAAATAAAAGTAGAAATCTAGGAAAAAAACCGCGATAACTAATTTCTCTGGTGCTCCTCCATCCATCCATCCATCCAAAAGAGAGCAAGCTCAGGGTCAGAGTACGTGCTTGATTGTAACCAAAACGCAATAGAGAACACTCTGAGAGCTAAAACAAACAGGATCTTATCGTTTCGAGCGCGCTTGAACTGCTCGAAGTTTACCGAGTGTAAAGCCAGTGCATGTGCAGAAGCTAGCTTCTGGATAGGAAATATAGGAATTGGCAAATTAGCTATCCAAGTGCTCCTAAATAGTCGAAAAAAAAACAGTCAGTCAGATTTTTTTTACAACCAGGAATAGGAATAGGTACTAGGGGACTGCTGGTTTTACGTGTACTTAGGTGGGGAACTTGCAGCGAATCTGATGACAGTGACAGAATGTTGAATTGGATTTGGATGCTATTCGAGCAAGAACACTTATTGCTTATTGAGCTGAAAGTGTGTGCCATTTTAGCCGCAGGCCTCAACTCTTGACATCAAAATGTATAAGCCGAGTTTAAAACAGTATAGGTTAAAAAAACGAATTCCTAAACGTTATATACTTGTTAAAATCACCTTTTCTACATTTAAAATCCATGAAAAAACAAGCACAACCTGGGGTGCGATTTTCGAAACCATTCGAGTACATTTCGTACACGAAATTTGACTGACAGCAATGTAAATTAAATGGGGAGCAGACAAATTTCGTGCACGAAATGTACTCGAATGGTTTCGAAAATCGCACCCCTGAATCGCAAGTATCCCATCGAGGCCTGCGGGTGACGTCACCACTATAAGAGGCTCCTAATAGTACCGACGTCACTCGCAGGCCTTGCCGACTCGAGAATTGGCGAACGTACGCCTTATGAGGATAAGCAATCTTATTAGGATTCTTGCTATTCAAGTGTTTCCAAATGGTCAAAAAAATCAGTTAATCATTAAACTAAATAGAGATTTTTTCTCATTATTAGGAAATGGAAAATGGAAATTGTTGGCTTCACGTTTACCTATACTTGATGGTCAGAAACTAAAATGTTTCTGGATAGGACTTAGGTGCTCCTAAATAGTCGAAGAAAAACTTGAATTAGTTATTTATTATTTAAATTACAGATTTTTTTTTTGCATTATTAGGGAACTGAACTACTGGCCTTACGTTTACTTGGGGGTGTAGAGATTTGCAGCGAATCTGATAACAGTGGCTATAATCGTTAATGTTGTATTGAAATTAGGTGTTATCTAAGTGCTCCTGAATGGTCGAAGAAAAACTGCAACTTTTTAGGAGCACTTAAATAGCACCAAATTCCAATACAACAGCATTTTAGTCACAGTTATCAGATTCGCTGCAATGCAAGACATCCTCAAGTAAATTTAAAGCCAGCAATTCCTTAATAATGAAAAACAAAAATCTGTACCTACTTCAGTTAATAATTAACTGATTCAAGTTTTTCTTCAAATATAAGCACTTAAATAGCACTAATTCCTATCCATAAACATTTTAGCTTCTGATACAGCACCAACTAAACGTGAAGCCAATAATTTGCCAATAATGAAAAAAAAACTATAAATCATTTGATAATTAACAGATTCAAGTGTTTCGTTGACAATTTGGGAGCACTTAAATAGTACCTAATTTCTATCCAGGAACATTTCAGCCTCTAACACACCACCATAAGTAAACTTAAATCCAGGAATTTCATAATATTGAAAAAAAATCTGTAATTCAGTTAATAATTAACTGATTCAATTTTTTCTTTGACTTTTTAGGAGCATTTTAAAAAGTATAGGTACCTATTATGTAAATTCTGATATCAAAGAAAAATTAAAAAAAATATTTTCACTACGGGGGACTGCTATAGGTATTTCATGTAAACCTAGCAATCCCTTCGTTTTTTTCTACAATGGGACTGCTAGGTTTATTGACCTAATATTCTGGAAAATCAATAAATAACCTCATACAATTTCAAATCTGGGGAGATACCTACTTTGGATAAGTATATGTATTATTAACTTTACATTTATAAATAATTTTACATGTCTGTATAGACTCTACGCTTTAATAATAAGTATATATTTCTAAAATCTTGGCTCTACTGTAGTTAATAAAAATAAAGTCCACAACCATTCATTAAATACAAAAACATTTAATTTATTTTGATTATTTATCAGCATCAGCTGATTACACCAGATGTTCCGCGCGCCCGCAGCGTACACAAACCCTTCAACTACTCTTTGTACTCCTCCGCGATCATGTTAACTGATCCCGACCATAGCCGATCGCGTTCGTGAGTAGACCATTTGCGGATTAGCACAAATGCACAGTAGCACAAATGGAGCCATCTCTTCATTTTCTGCCAACGTAATAGGACCTTCGGCTGCATTCGTGTTCGTTCGAGCACAGCGTAGGCAAATTATGCTTGAAGTAGACTAACGTTGGTAGTTTATAGAGCCTGCCTGGCGTTCGTGAATTCGTGAAAATAATCTCTAAATAAATTCAGTTGGAAATTGGCAGTTATTTTTAGTTGTTGGCGCATGTTTCAATGCGAAATGCAATAACGAATGAAGAAATACCTTTTTTTAAGAGTTTAAAAATTAATCATTGTGTCTACTGAAATGTCCCAGAACTTTTTTAGTAGATTTGAGCTAGTTTCGGTTAGTTTGCGGTAGTATGGGTTATTTTTGGTTAGTTTGGGTTGGTTCGGGTTAGTTTTGGTTTAAAAACCGCACTAGGCGATGGTCTTCCTGTTTCCTTTTTTCAAGCAGAGACAGTGCTTAATTCAAACCGTCAAACCCGTCCTGAAATTTTTTTTAGCTCAAACTCCATAAAATAGTTAGTATAAAAGGTCCATCGGGTAGATACAAAGAGATCGTTGGTTCTATCTAACACAATAATTAAGCCAATGTTTTCCGAAATTTTGGTGTAAATAAATTTTTTATCTTTTATCTTCCCTTCCTTCGAATAAAAAACATTTATCGGACCTAATTATGAATAAAATGCTTGTAACATACAGTCACATGAACTGCCAACGTCTTGTTGCGACGCTCATATTCTGCTAACGCATCACGGCGCAGGGCACGAATCTAGCCGAATATCAGTTGCGTTGGCAAAAAATGAATATGCATGCGGGTTGCTGGACGCTCGATACAAAAATGCTTCCCGGCGATTACCTTTGTGCGTCGTTGCCAAGCATAAAAAAACGAATTTCGGCCAATGAAAGCAAAGCGACAAACTTTATGACCTAAAAAGAATCTAATTGTCAAAAACCGGTTTATGTCAATCATTGTGGAAAAATTATTTATTTTTCAATTTAAAAATAATTTGAATGTCTCCATCGTAAAATGGCAGAAAAAACAGCGCCTTTACGGGCAAAGCAAGTAAGTGTTTGTCAAAAAGAATGTTTGATCGAGTTTGTAAAGAACCACCCCGAGTTACAAAGTGGGAAATTTACACCCGGCTCTACTAAAAGAAAGCACAGCAATTATGGGAGGAAGCAGCCAAGGATCTTAATTGTATGCCAAAAGGGGCCTATAAAAATTGGAAGCAATGGCGCAAAGTAAGTATACAAAAACTGTAACATTAAAACTTTTTGAAAATGCCTCAAAAAATGAAAGAAACAAAGCTAGGCATCCGTTTGAATCGGTTTCCAAAGGAGATCCATTGCAAATGCAAACGGAGTAAGCATTACTCAATGCTTAGCTTAGCTGGTTTTATAAAAACGATTGTTGCTTCGTTGCTCGTACACAGGAATCGTGGAGTCATTTTAGTATAAAACTAAAATTTCAATTGACTGTAAATGAGTTTTCTTGTTTGTTGCAGAGTTGGCAAGATCTGAAGAAAAATGTAAAAGCAAAGAATTCTAGGATTAATCAGCACACTCAGGGAACGGGGGGCGGTCCACCGACGGATGAGGAGTTTAATCACTCTGAAATGGAAATACTGGGTATGTTGGTGCCGACAATCTTGAGTGGTATACACGACATCGAATCGGACGCTACGTTCGAGGAAGGTGAGACTGAAGAGATCCTTATAGAATCGCAACTTGATAAAACCGTGGCAGTGGAGGAAGACAATAAAGATGACACCGTGGTCGTCGGAAAAAGCAAAAACGAAGCTGTGGAGCCAACGGCTGAGCAAATTAGGTTTTCGGAAAGGGAAAATAAGGAGAATGTGCCTTCGCCCAAAGCTAATAATCCACGATTGGGTCCTAAAACCCCCGACAAAAAACGTAAATTTACGACTACATCAGCCAGACTGCAAAGTTCTTTGACTATGAGCAAAGAACTTCTGTCAACGGTAAAGGAAAATCTCGATGCGACAGAAGCTTATCGAGCAAAGAAGCTGAAGCTGTTGGAAAACCAACTCGTTGTGCAGGAAGCCATTCGGGATCACTTGAAAGAGTTGAAGGAATACTTTCAACAAAATTCCTACTAGTTGTGCCAGGCCATTTGTCTTACGTTCTATTTTTTGTTTTGTAGCCAAAGAATATCATGTTACGGTTATGTTGAGTTGATTGAAGTAATTAGGAAAAATGCTAGTTGCGTTTATTTTTGTTCATAATATTCATAAATACGAATTTAATTTTTTATTTCAATTAAAGTGAGTTGCAATAATGTGCCGTTGTATTTGTCTGCCAGCGAGGAGATCCCGATTTACTCGATTTCCAACATTATTTGGTTCTTCCAAGTCCTCCATATTGACGTTCATTCCATAGTCTAGATGTTCCAAATTGTATTCTGGTTCAGGCACATTGCGCTCTAGGCACATGTTGTGTAAAACAGTACATGCATTGATTATTTTGCATGCTTTGGCCGGTGTGTAATGCAGTACTCGATCTTTCAACAAACAACGGAACCGATTTTTAAAGACTCCGTTGCATCGTTCGATCGTGCTTCTAACCGAGGTGAAGCGTTCATTAAATCTTTCTTCAGCCGGTGTTAAAGGAGCACTCAGAGGCGTCAACAACCATGGTCTTAGGGGATAGCCAGAATCGCCCAACAAGTAAAAAACATCTCCGTTATTTCGTCGGTAGACTGCTTCCATGACCCGTGACACTTCTGATTCGCGCCAAATAAACGCATCATGGCAACTACCGGGAAAGCGGGCGCTGCTGGCGATGATTTTTAAATTTTCGTCACAAATAAGCTGTACGTTTATGGAATGTAGTTTTTCCGGTTGACGTAGATATGTTCAGGATGCAAAGGATCATTGCTCGGTGGCTTAACTATGGCCACATGTGTACCATCAACTATCCCAACCACGCCAGGAAATCCATATTTTTGGTAAAAACGTGCTCTCAATTGTTGTAACTGTTGGCGATTACGCGGAAAGTGCACCCAATGATTAAATACTTCCGGTTGTAGCAAAGCATTGCAAACTTCATTTACGGCGCGACTAACCCAAGGACTAACCGTGGCTTGGCTAACGGCTACAAAGGTATTGGTTCCAGTGATTTCTTGATAGGATCCATGACCAAAAAATCGTAATGCTATAAGTAGCTAAAAGGTGAACTATTTTAGTTAATTTGCAAAAATAAGTAGATATCCATTCGCCCATACCTTTCGTTCTACCGTTAATGCTGACACCCTAGATGAAACTGCCATGAATGGGGATATCTGTTGCATTATTTCATGTGCCAGATTTTTCGTTACCCGAAAATATTTTATGAATTTATGTTCAGATAAATATACGAATGGATCCCGTATTTGGAACACCTGCCGTGGTCCGTGATTAGCCTGTTCATCAGCATCTTGCAAATCGCCAATAATGATATGGGCCGCAATTATCTCGTTTATATTCATGTTCTCAACAAAGCATAAAAACCGATGACATAACACATGTCACTTTTCAAGTTCTCTCGCCGTTCGTAGGAAAGGAGCTGTTCACATTTTCAAGAATACCTATTTTTTACTTCCATGAAAACTTGTACAATTTTCTCATGAGAAACGAGCTCCCCGATTTCAAGAATAGCCGTCCTGGACTCTGTTGTATCAGGTTTTTCTCAAAATTTACATATTCGGTCATTTTCTCACAAAATCCTACTGTGGTGGGGTTGGGAATAGCTTGGCGCTCAACCCCTCAAAATTTTGGAAATAAGTGAAAGAAAAATGGATTCTTATCCAATGTGCACCAGTGCAAATATATAATTGCTTCGAGTGTGCCACACCAGTGCCGCACTATTTTTGCGAATGGATTTCGCTATTGAAGTGTACCCTACAAAAAAATAAAATTCAGTTTAGTCTACACTTAAGATTGAATAGGAATCTATTTTTGTTTGATTCGATTTTCGAAATTTTGGGGGGCTGAGCGTCAATACCCCCCCAGTAGGATTTTGTCGGAAAATGACCAAATATGGAAATTTTGAGAAAAATCATACAGTCCAGCACACTTCAGATTGAATAGGAATCCATTTTCCTTTGATCTGATTTCCAAAACTTTGGGGCCGCTGACCGTCAAGTTAGCCCCCCAGTAAGATTTTTTCGGAAAATGACCGAGTGTGGAAATTTTGAGAAAAACCTGATACAGCACACTTCACTTCAGAATGAATAGGAGTCAATTTTTGTTTGAACTGATTTCCAAAATTTTGGAGGGCTGAGCGTCAAGCTAGCTCCTCATCTTGTTTTTCCTATAACTTTGGTATCGGAACGGCACAGTTCAAAATATCATCGGCAGGGCACATTGAAGCACACTTCGAGCACAGTAGGTGGTTGAAATTTTGTTGGAAAATTCGAATGTAGGGGGGCTAACTTGACGGAGCCCTCTCCATGGGTGGTCCGTTTGTTGTTTATCGCTAGCAGGTGAGGGGCCACGGGCGCTCGTACTACTTTTCAGGAGTGCTCGTGCTCGTACCACTTGGCAGGTAGCAGGCGCCCCAACAACTGGCCGCCTTTTCGTGCAATAAAGTTTAAAGGTATTTGTCTCTATTTTTTTTTTATCTGTATAAAAATATACCAACTAATATACCTAGAGAGAATATGCCGCCCCCTCGGGCTGCCGCCCTAGTGTAAAATCCGGCCCTGGCCAGATCTGTGCAGCGATCAGAAAAACACTCAAACCGTTTGAGGAGTCATTTTACCACAAATTTATTTTGTTAAAATTTATTTGTAAGGTTGCTTCATTCATTCCAGCAAATATGACGGAACTGTCAAAGTCACGTGACCTGGAATGGGGCAAATGAGTTTGACAGTCGCCCTGAGGTAAAACAAATCATTTATTTGCATTCGTGTAGATTAGGCCGGTTATGTTTTATGCGGTTTTCACAGATTTTTTACAAGTTTTTGTTTTATTTTGTCCTAAAAAAGTTGGAGTGAAGTGTTTGTGTTGCAGTCTTTGTTGTATTTTATCTAAAAGATTGCTAGGTTTTCCTATAATGGATTAATTTCAGGTTTTTTCCAACAAATATCAAAACCAAGTGTGACAAGAACAAATATATACACATAGTTACTCTATATTCGATCTATTTTTCTGTCAGATCTGCTCTTTTAAAAACATTTATCAATTTTTCTCTTCTTTCTTGAGCTAAGAAATCAAACCTCCCATTGTTATTTAAAATCGATGAAAACCTATGGAATGATATTGTATCCCTTGCGCTATACTGCCACAATTAACAACTAAACAAACTCTAGGCATGACCAAGAAGCTTCTGGATCACACAAAAGGTATTTATTTGAAAAAATCTAACTAAAAACTTAAAAAACACTGTCAATTATATCTTTGTTTTGTGGTTTTACCTCAAGACGACTGTCAATAGTGTCAAACTGTCAGATCGTGTACTTGCCCTTAGGGCATGTCCATGTGACGTCACAAATGAGTTTGACAGTCGCCCTGAGGTAAAACAAATCATTTATTTACATTCGCGTAGATTAGGCCGGTTATATTTTATGCAGTTTTCACAGCTTCTTTACAAGTTTTGGTGTTATTTTGTTTTAAAAAAGTTAGAGCGGAGTGTTTGTGTTCCAGTCTATGTGGTTTTTTTATCTAAAAGTTTGCTAGGTTTTCCTATAATGGATTAAATTTAGGTTTTTTCCAACAAATATCAAAACCCAGTGTCACAAGAACAAATATATAAGTATAGTTACTCTATATTTAATCTATTTTTCTGTCAGATCTTCTCTTTCAACAACATTAATCAATTTTTCTCTTCTTTCTTGAACTAACAAATTAAATCTCCCATTGTTATTTAAAATTGATGGAAACCTATGAAAGGATATCCCTTGCGCTATACTGCCACAATTAACACCTAAACATACTCTAGGCATATCCAAGAAACTTCAGGAGCACACAAAAGGTACCTATTTATTTAAAAAAATCTAACTAAAAACTTGAAAAACACTGTAAATTATATCTTTGTTTTACCTCAAGGCGACTGTCAATAGCAATAGTGTCAAACTGTCAGATCATGTACTTGCCCTATTGCAGTATTTCAATAGTTAACGACTGTCAGACGTTATGCAGGAGTGTATAGAATTTCAATTAACAGTACAGTAGTGCGCATAGCGAATGGATGTGATTAAAACTTTGCACTGTATTTTTGTGATTTCTAGCTGTGTTGATCCGAATTAATTGCTTGGTATTTTATCATGAAATTAAATAGTGATGGTAGGGAGAAATCCACGAGGAAAAATACTGAAGAAGAGTGTACTGAACCAGATAATTAGCCAGGTATTTCTGGAATAGATAGCATTAATTTCAACCATGACGCAATAAATAAAACTATTGGAGTCAATATAAAAAACTCCAAACAACCAGAACCGTATTTAATAAACCCAAGCAAAAAAAGACCCAAGATAATAATGGTACCATTATAAATATAAATGATAACAGTAGCCGAAATTCTAAGCCTCAGCCTGATAAAAATGTTGGTGCGTCTAAGGAGAGTTTTAGCACGCTTGACTCTAATTTAGATGATGATAACTCAATCTTTGATACCTAACACAATGCATCTAAATAATTTGCAATTTGTTGATGGTAAATCAATATTGGATGCGTTTGCTGCATATTTCAGTTCAGTCTCTATGCCAACGATCCTGAACACTCCGAAATTCATGATGACTGTCAGGTTTTTGATGCTTTGTGTTTGGACCAAATCAAATATGAGGATGATTGTGATGCTGTGAGGAGCCTTAGTTAACAAAGCAGTTGGTCCTGATAATGTGTCATCCCTTGTTTTTAAGGAAATGATCGTTTTTTTTTTTAACCTTTCATTGAGAACAAACACTTCTCCTCAAGCATGGAAAGAGGTCCTGTATTCAAAACAGGTGATGGCACGGATGTGAAAAATTATAGGTCTATATCACTCTTGTCATGCCTGGCCAAGGTATTTGAGTCCATCTTATATAAGTTCATACAGGGTGGGCCACGAAAAACTTCCCTCCCAGGTTTTCTTAGGTATTAAATGACTAATCAAAAATCCCTGGGACATGTCACTTTTTGTTTTTTGGGGGACACATTTCATTGGTACTTTCACCCTCTACCTGTCAACCCCTAAGCGGTGTGACAGGTACTCCCAAAAATTCAAATGGAAAGGAGGGTCGTGTGATACATTATTTGATAGCTATTTTTATTAAAAATATAATATCCTCAAAGTTGCCACTATTTACCCTGTCGAAATGGTGGCAAAACAGATTTTTCAAGTGAATAAACATGAATCATTTTGAACTGAACTGTTAAATTAAATACTAATGTAATTTTATTATGTATTATGGATAGGTATTCCTGAGAAAATCTGTTGTTTTATTATTATGTAATAAAAACCACACAATTCAGATACTCGGAAAGAAGCATTTTTCCTAACTTTGACAGGCCGCCATTTCGGCAAGGTAAATAGTAGCAACTTAAAACTTTGGGGATATAATCTTAATAAGAATAGCTATCAAATGACCTATCACTCGACCCTCTTTTCCATTTGAAATTTTGGGGGTACCTGTCACCCCCGCTAAGGGGTTGACAGCTAGGGGTGAAAATACCAATGAAATGTGTCTCCCAAAAAAAAAAAATTGACGTGTACGAGCGATTTTTAATTAATCACCTAACACCTGAAAAAACCGCGGTGGAAAGTTTTTTGTGTCCCACCCTGTATATAATTTTGTGAAAAACAAGATATCAGCCAGACAACATGGTTTCTTAAATAAGCAATCTACGGCTAGTAATTTGTGTGAGATGACTCAGTATCTGAGAGCCTTGATATAAAATGCGAGGTCGACGTAATATACACAGATTTTGCCAAGGCTTTTGACAGAATATCGCATAGCATCCTTATACAGAAGCTGTGCAATGAGTTAACATGAGTTAACATAATAGACCACAACGAGTTGTTGTCAGGGGTTACTACTCCAATTATTTTTGTGCAACTTCAGGTATCCCGCAGGGCACCAACCTCGGACCATTGCTCTTTCTGTTGTATATAAATAATTTGGTTGATGGAATTAGTGGTACAGAAGTATTATTGTTTGGAGATGACCTAAAACTATATTCAAGGGTTAACAATTACAAGGATTGTCAGTATATCCCGATACATTTGGACAAAATACTTCTATGGTCAATTAAAAATAAATTACAATTTAATATTGACAAAATGTTTTATGTTTAGTTTTAGTAGAAGAAAAACAAGAGAAAAACGCATTTTAACTATAAGTATACAATGAACAAAAGGGCACTGGCTAGAGTTGCAGAAATGCGGGATCTTGGGGTAATATATGACACCCAGCTTACATTCAGAAGTCATATAAATAACATAACAAGTAGGGCATCTAAAATGTATGGAATTATTGTAAGAAATTTCAAAGAGCTCCATATATTGTGTATTAAAACTGTATTTTTCATATGTGAGGAGTATATTAGAATATTGTTCTATAATATGCAGCCAGTGATATGAGAACCATAAATATAGTATTGCAAAAATTCAAAATAAATTTTTGGGATGTTTACACTATAAGGAAACAGAGCTTATGAAATGCATATACCAAAATTAGAAATCATGAAAGCAAAATTGATACTTAGGTAATGAAATATTGGGATGAATGTGGATTTAAATGTTAAGTTTCACTTTATATTTTTGTTTTCACTTAGGTTAGTCTTCTTCCCTACTCTTTAGCTGCATGTGAATCTGTAAGGAATGTAAGGAATAAATAAATAAATAAATAAAGACTGCCAGATCCGTGGAAGATGTCCATAGTTGCACCACGGTTCAAAAAAGGAAACAGATATAAGGCAGAGAATTACCGCCCCATCAATCACATATAACCCTTTGAAATGTATGGAAAAAATAATAGGTAGAGGACTAACAGATAATTTTTTTCTAAATAATTTAAATCCATCATAGTAGAGTGCTCCTTGTAATATATTTTGACTTTTGTGGGCGCGTCGGAGTTACAAGCTGAAATTTTCACAGAATGAAGGTTTTATTTTGTTAATTCAGAATCCCAAGGTAATACAAAATCAGAAAGGGCAAAAGGGCAGTATATTTAAAAATTGAGATTATTGCATGAACGTATAGAATATTAATTTATGACTGTTGTCAAACACTTCGTGATGATAGATTAATCGATAGAGCGGGTCAAAATTAGTGGAAAATAATCTTGACATCAATTCCAAATGGCCATTTTAAGCAGAAACAAAAATATAAAGAAAATCCTATTTTTGGCTCTGAAAAATTTTCAAAATCTTGACATAGTCATGAACACTTGCCCATATCTTTGGTAAATTTTGAACAAATTGAATCAAATTATACACCATTGGAAAGAGAATTAAATTCTCTATAAATCTGTGCAAAATTGAGTTTGATAGCTCAAATAGTTTTTGAGCAATTGAGCCTCAAATTTGACTTTTAGTCAAAATTTTGTCAAAAACTTCAAACTCAATTTGCACAAAAACTATAAATCTGGAAATATTGTAAATTACAGGCCATTTAGAACTTGATAAAAGCTACAAATTCTGGAAATTTTAATGCAATTTGCTCAACCATTACCGAGCGATTGAGGTTTGAATATTTTGAAATCAGAATTCAAAGGGGGTGATATCGATAAAGCGGGTCAAAATTAGTGGAAAACAACTCTGACATCAATTCTAAATGGCCATTTTAAGCAGAAACAAAAATAAAAAGAAAATCCTATTTTTGGCCTTGGAGAATTTCAAAATCTTGACATGGTCATGAACAATTGCCCATATCTTTAGTAAATTTTGAGCAAATTGGATTAAATTATATACCATTAGAAAGAGCATTAGATGCTCAAAAATTGAGTTTCATAGCTCAAATAGTTTTAGAGCAATGGAGCCTCAAATTGACTTTCAGTCCAAATTTTGTCAAAAAATTCAAATTCAGTTTGCTCTAAAACTATAAATCTGGGAATATTGTTACTTACAGGCCATTTAGAGCTTACAAATGCTGGAAATTTTAATGCAATTTGCTCAACGGTTATCAAGCAATTGAGGTTTAATTGGTTTGAATATTTTGAAATCAGAATTCAAATGTATATTATAACATAGGCGCCCGCAGAAAAATATGTAGGTGGGGTCAAAATCAATTGAATACATTTTTCATGGATAAAAACATTATTTATAAAGTATCTAAAAACTTATCAATTTAGAGATACTTAGGTATACAGGGCGACAATTTGAAAAGTAGCAATCGGGAATATCTCTTAGACAAAAAATACTATCAGGAAGATCCCAAATACGTATCGGGGGATTAGAGGGGGAATCAAACTGAGGCACTTTTTGAGTCACCTTGCCTAATCCTACGATTTAGATTTTGCTATAAGACTGTGAAGGAAAAGCAATGAGCTATCCAACGATATGCAGCACAAGGTAGGTTCGTATTGAAAAAAAAAGGTAGCTACCCCCTAAGGGGTACGAAACGGGGTGGCTCAAAAAGTGCCTCATGTTGGTTCCCCATCCAAGCTCCCAATTCCTCCGATATGTATTTGAGATCTTGATAGTATTTTTTTGTCTAAGAGATATTTCCGATTGCGGGATTGCTACTTTTAAAATTAATTGACACCCTGGCACAAATCACCTAAATACAGATGCGTAAGTAAGTATCCTTACCGTTGCTACGAAACCAGGGTAGCCGGCTCCCTTGCCGCTAACGCGGCCCATAATTTATAGTGCGTGAGGTGACCGTGTCCAGCCTGTTGTGTTTACATAATAACATTAAACCACGAATTCACCGCGCTTTCGCATCTGTATGTAGGGGAGCTGTGACGCTTAACCCCGTACTATCCGACAAGCGGCTAGCCGCCTTAACACGTTGACTGCCAACTACAAGATAACTCGAATTTGGCTACTTGAATCAGAAGCCCACTACGAATTATCTCGTACTAAGCAGTGTCTAGTATATCGCCCACTACGGGTAAACACGTAGTAAATGCAGGCAGATACATAATGTTGGGCGTCTGGGGTAAGGTGCAACAGTAACTTGACGGCGGTGTGGACAAGAAAAATCAAAAAATTATTTTATTCAGATTTTATTTGTGACTAAAATAAAGGAAAATCACTTGGATATAATGGGCGTCTGGGGCTAAATTCTTATATCAGGCTTGGCAGTTAACGTGTTAAGGAAGCAGCGAGGTTTCGTAGCTTTTGAATCGACGGCAAGGTCCCTTACTTTAGCATCTGTAAGTAGGTGATCTGTGAGCCTGGGGTGATATTTTCGGATTTATCCGAGTAGGTACACTTCACACTTCGTACACGAAATTTGACTATGACAGCAATGTGAATTAAATAAAAATAAAAAAATCGTAATATCAAATTTCGTATGCGAGAATATTCGACCACATGTTCATTTGAGTTGAGTTCGGAATGGGATTTAAGTGCAGTTCTAGTGCGGTGTTCGTGTAGTGCACTGTCATATCGGGTGATGAAGGTGTAATCGACGGTGACGGTGTAACACCGAATAGTGAATACACCATCATTTTATACCGAACGGTGTCCCACCATTTTCATACCATTCGGACACCAAATTATTTTCTACAATGAACTTTTTCAAACGCAAAAAAAGTATACACCAAACACTCCTACCAATTAATGAACGCCATAGTGTCAATAGTGTAAAAAGTGTTGATACTTTCTACCATTCCGAACTCACCTATGGTAATGGTGTAGTGTCGTTGGTGGCTAGGGTACGTTCCGTTCCGTTCTCCTATTTCGATATACATTCACGTTTTCTATTTTAATAAAAAAAAAGTCGCAAAGTCGGCCCGCGATCATAGTTCAACTAATATCAGAAATTCAAATATTTTTATCAAGGAAAATAATTGAAATTTGAGAGATTTCCAGGGGGGGTCGAGTGACCCCCCCTGACCCTATCTGTGGGCGCCCATGGTATATAATACGTAAAAGGGTTTATTGTATTTTACAATTGGCGTAAGAGAGAGGGAGCTACGGAGAAAAGTGAGATGGAAGAGTACTGGAGCAGCGCGAGAACGGGCTATCCCGGCTAGAAGAAAATTACTTTTTTTATATTTAATTCTATATTTGTGTTAAAATTCAAGACAAAAAAATTATTCTTGTACATATATAATCTAGATTCTAGATGCATGGTGCAAACTTTTTACAAGAATAAAAATTTTTGATTTGAGCCTTTATTTCGGAGATAATGCGAGGTGAATGCAATTTTTTTTATATTTAATCAGATTTTGCTCAGGTTTGAACGGAGATATTTTAATTTTTAGATTTATTTTACCGTAAGGGCCAATGTATTCGGCTTATTTGAAGCAATACTAAAAAATATAATCTGAACAAAAATATAGATAAATTTTATATGAGAACAGTCATAAATTACTATTCTATACTTTCATGTAATAATCTCGATTTTTAAGTATACTGCCCTTTTGCCCGTTTTGATTTTGTATTACCTTGGGATTACGAATTAACATAATAAAACCTTCATTCTGTGCAAGTTTCAGCTTGTAACCCGTAACCCCGACGCGCCTACAAAACTCATTTTTAGAAGGCTTTAACTGCGTTGGGCACTCTACTATCAACTCAACATGGGTTTTTTTTGGAACGCTCAACAACCAACTTGCTTGAATGTTTAAATGACTGGACATAAAACCATGACAATGCTCAACTCACAGACGTGATTTTCCTGGACTATGAGAAAGCCTTTCATAAAGTGCCACATAAGCTGTTATGTGGAAAGTTGGAGCACTTTGGAGTGCCTGGAGCCCAATTCTTGAGAAATCTCGCATACGAAATTTGATGATTTCGAACGCTTCCCATTTAATTTACATTGCTGTCAGTTAATTTCGAATCAAATTTCGTATGCGATATTTTTCAAGAATTGGGCCTCTCCGGATAATCACTGACATTGATTAGAAAGTCGTTGGTTGGACGATACTACCAAGTACGAGTAAATGGAGAAAGGTCAAGCAGACACTTAGTTCAAAGAAGAGTTGTTCAAAGATCGGTGTTGGTGCCACTGCCTATCTATTTGATTTTGTTGAACTGATTGAAACCAGACTAGAAATTTTTTCTGATGATGACAAACTTTATGCAAATCCACAACTCAATGCAAATCAACTTCAGGAACAGAAAGGGTTGAAAACTGATCAAGGATGTCGGGAATGAAACTGAATGAGTCATAAAGTACAGTGCATAGAATTGGTCCAAATAATCCAACCAAGAATATTCGTTGAACGGGAGAGTTCTATCTGCAACAGAGGAAAATGACCTAGGAGTCACGGTTACATCACATTGTAAAAATGACAAAAAAGCAAGTTCCATTGTTTATTCTATCAAACACGCATTTATAGGTCTGTTCCCACAGGAGTCTCTGACAGTTTGCAACCTATCAGAAACAATCGCTCAGCTGAGTTACAGATTTATCTCGAGTCGACAGCATTGAAAACATGTATGGGTGATGCTTACTGACAGTTTACAAACTGTCAGAGACTCCTGTGGGAACAGACCTTAAATTTCTATTCTATTGGCATGACAACAAAGCTTTATAAAAAATCAAACAAACAAAAAATCAATTGAATGTTGACTTAGAAAAAACAGCAACAAGTGCATGATCAGGCATGCCTTGATATTTTTACAAATGTTTATAGCTGTGAAGGGTAACCCTGTCCCCTGTCTTTTTCACAATACTCAATTTGGTTTCAGATCTTCTCTGTCAATTACGATGGCCATAAATAAGCTTATTGAACTGATAAATGCAGGGTATACAAGTGGAGATTACATTGGGGCTTTATTTTGTGATCTTAGTAAAGCCTTTGACTGTGTCTCCTCCAGATTGCTTGTGGATAAATTAAGATACTATAGGTTTGATTTTGATAGTATGAAGCTCATTTCATCTTACCTGACCAATAGATGGTTAACTTAAGTGGTCGTACATTCGAATTTGTAGATGTGTCATATGGTTTGCCCCAGGGTTCGATGCTAGGGCCGCTGTTCTTTTTGGTGTACATGAATGATCTCGGTAGCTGCGACCCTGGTGCCGACTTGGCTGTATTTGCTAATGATACGACTGTTGTGAGAAGGGCTAAAGAACTTGAGGAATTTGCAAGCAATCATGGAGGAGACGCGGTCGAAGATTACTGAATGGTGCACTGCTAATCAATCAAAATAGAGACAACATATATTTAGATTATCATAGAACTCATAGAGCGAAAACTGCCATATCTTCCCATGCACCAAAGATATTCAATTTATTGCCACCCCCTATAAAGGTGTAACCTGCAAAAGATTTCAAGTTGTTGGTGAAGAGATACCTAATCAAGAAGTACTCTCATTCCATTGATGAATTCTGTAGCAATGATTCCTCAGACATTCTTGAATGAACAAGATGTGTCATCATAAAAATGTAGTCAAAATTGTAGTCAGTATTGTAGGTGATATTGATTAGATGCCTGAATATTTGTATTTATTTGTTTATTTATATATTTTCTCCTGTAATTGTTTAAAATTTGTACCTCTTCAGTAAATACTTGCTCTGCATAGGTGAAAAACTTGAGTGTTAATATTTTTGTAATGTATTTTGGCATGAATAAATATTGTATTCTTGCATCCTGTAAATCAAACTCTGAAAATTGTTTTGTTTTTCTGAATTAATAAAATCGGCCGACATTGCACTCACTCAAAAATTGTTATACCTAGTAACTCCATGGGCAGTTTATTTGATTAAAAATAAAAACCCATTTAAATTTTCAGATTAATAGGTACTAATTTAATATAGGTTTTGGCAGGAAAACGTAAAAATCAAGTGAAGAACTCAATTTTTTTTGTAGAAAGCATAATCAGTTACAAACTAAAACTAATTATTTTTTCTCTAGCTGCCTGTTTCAATTAAAAAAAGTTTTTCTTAAGTTCTAATTTATATTTTACTATTTACAATGAACTCATAACATACGTAACTGTAAAGCATGAAGTGTGTAAAAATGATAAGGTAATCTTCCTTCGTCATACTCGCACTATGTCGAGTAGGCATAAAATATACTTCTTAGACTATTTACAGTGTATTTTTTTTGAAGCGTTAGGAAGGTATGATATTCCAGAAATTTGTTGTACAAAAAATATCAGCGTCTAAATATATCATCAAGTTTCAGTTTCTATTATTCTATGTCAGAAACTTGAGTTTATGATTCATAAAAAATTCAAGACATCCTTAAAGCCAATCGGTTAAGGAAATATCTGTGAATTGTTTCTTTTTTTTTTAATTGAATTTAGGAAAAGAAAAAGGAAAATCATCATAATCGTTCTGAAAAAGAACAGGGTCCTGATTCCGAACCCACGATTCGATAGTGTCGTCTATACGAATTTAAATAGAATCGTGGGTTCAGAATCCAGGCCCTGCATTGAATGAAATTTTGTGAATATTTCTGGAATAAAAAACCCTTAAAGTATTTTGCAATAAGCCACTATGAGAACAGGCCTCTATACAAAGCGAATCTAATCAATTCCTTAACTGAACACATTTTTATAGTTTCAATAAATAATCTTAAAAATAATTCTGAGCCCTCATGCTAACTTCATACTTACTCAACAATAAATTATGTAGTATTCTTTCTAGTCCTTATAGGAAATTTATTTTCGGCACTTATTAATTTTAATGAATCCAAAGTTTTGAATTCCGTAGGCGACAGGACAATATCGCCAGTACTTTTACGTGATTCTTGTTTCGGAATATTCGAATTTTGATCCAACCCAAGCATTTTTCGTGCATCTTGGAAGCACTTATCGTATACGACATCTAAAAATAGCTCGTGCAAAATTCTTCTCGCCTCTAAGCAATAGCTACACTCTGAGAACATTTTGCACACTTCGGAGTAGACGCAAATGTTTTCGAACATGTCGGGGTCTTTTTGTTTCAGTCTTAATACTTGAGTTTTGAAGGCGTTGCTTATCGCTGGAACGGCTAAACGTTCGGAGATTTTTAAAATAATATGATCTGAAAATATTAAATTGTTCAAGAATATTTGTTTCTGTTTAAGTCGAAAAATATTTTATCACCTCCGTTGAAATCTGTTATCAAAGGCTCTAGTATTTGGCTACAATATATACAGGATTCTTGGTGATGTTTCCAAGTGTTGGCTGGTTGATTTGTTGGAGAATTGTACATTGTGGTGTTAGGTTTTACAAGTGTTTCTTCAAGGGCTTCAGTTTCTTTAGTATGTGTCTAAAAATAACAAATAAAATCTGAAACTTGTAATCCAATAATAATAAACTATGCATTTTTTTTAGCAAAGCTCAACTGATCTCTAAACTCAAATTTTTTACTCAAAAATAGGTATTTATAAAAAAAAACGTTTGAAAATTTCTAAGATTTGGAATAAAAGTTCCTAGATTTAAATTTTTTACTCAAGGACCATTTCAGTTTCAGTATTTTATAAAAATGGATACAAAAGGTATTCTGACCACGCACAAATTACATTGAAAAGTGGTTTTGATGAAATTGCTTGAATTTTTGGTATCTTGTACTTCCTACCCCCTTTTTTGATTTAAAAAAAAAAATAGGGGGGTCGAATGGATGGTTTCGTCGTTACAAGGAGAAAAAGTCGCGCCAGCAATTACCAAAACATTACCTGTCATACCCTTAAAACTATAAAGAAAAATATTTTGAAACTTTCGCGTCGAGAACTAAATAAAACAAAGGTAAAAAAAATATATGTATACAAAAAACAATGAGAAAGACAAACAACTTAAAACTTAATATAATATGTGGTGTAGATAAAACAAGTCATTAAAGACGAAAAAGATGAAAAAAATATAAAATTAAACAAAATATTCACAAGCACAATTTAAGGACTAGTGCAGATAATGTTATACATTTTCACGATTTCATCCACAATAAGAGTTTTTTGTCAATGCCGATCTAGGTATAGGTAAGGGCAAGCAGTTGTTATGCCTCAGGTTGTACTGTACTTCATCTCTTTCGAACCCCTGGAAATATTGTAACGGCGTCTGCTTTGATTCTGGAATAAACGAACCCAAGATTTCTGTCACGCACACCACAGAGCCGTGACAATATTAGGCATACAGTCTCCAATATAAAGATACACGGAACCGTTAGCTCGATTAAAAGAGGCTTACAGCTCTTCCTGCATCCAATCTGGCAAACATATCTCAAGGCACTTTTTTGTAGAACAAAAACCGCTTGAATAGAGCTTTGTGTTGAATATCCCCAGAACGCTATACCATATCTCAAATGCGATTCAATTAGGGTATGGTAAGCTGTCTTAACTGAAAGCTTTCCTAGTTTATGGACGAGGATCTTTATAATGTAACAACAAAAAGCATTAAATTATACAATCATTTACCAGGAGAGTTAAAAAATATTCAAAATTATAGAATGTTTCGAAATTCTGTGAAAAGCCTTTTAGTGCCTAGAGCCCTCTACAGTATCGCTGATGAGTATTACGACACTGGATTTTAAATTTAAATCTAAACTTATGAATGTTGCCATTGTTATTGTTATTTGCATTTTCTATTTTATGTTTTATATTTTGTATTTTGTATTTTATGTTTGATAATTTATATTATTTTATGTTTTATACTTTGTATTTTCTAGTTGTGTTTTTTATACATTACATGTTAATGACAACATGTCCGCACCATCCATAGTGGTGATTGGATAAAGATTTTTGTGAATTTAGTTTATTTTTGTCATTTTATTTTTGTTTTTTATTCTTTAATAATATTATATTAGAAAATTGCTTTGTCAGTGAGATAACGTATTTCTGGACAATAAAGCTTATTTTGATTTGATTTGATTGACCTTTAGCAACTTTTTCTATAATCTTTGAAAAGGTAGGTAGCATAGATATGGGTCGGTAGTTACAGCGGTCTTGATCATCACCGCCTTTAAAGATAGGAATAACAATAGCCAGTTTCAGACAATCTGGAAATTGATCCATTTCAACAGAATGATTTATACAATTTACGAGCGCTGCAAGTGCATCTTCAGGCAAGCACTTAAACAGCTTCAGCGATAAGCCATCCACTCCAGATGAATTTTGTTTTTTAATACTTCAATGTTTTTTAGTTCTGCAATGCTAGTGGGGGTTAACCTGAAATGTTCCGCTGGTGTGAAGGGTGGTAAAAAACTTAGCGGATCTTTGTTCGGTTTTAAGTTGCTTGCTAATTTACCCGCCACTGTGCAGTAAAAGCTGTTGAGATCTGACGGAGTAACACTTACTTTGTTTGAGGTTTTTGATGTTTTCCCCCTCATATCATTTACTATTTTCCAATATTCTCTATTGGAACTATTTGCTTCATTTATTCTTTGCCGGTAGTAACTTTTCTTCGCTGCTCGAATAATTTTTTTATGTTTTGCGATACAAAACAAAATAGTTGTTAAACCATTCAGATTCAGATTTAGCAAATTTTCTTATGGTGTATAAGGATCGAAGATTTTTACCAGAAATTTTTATTGCGTTTGTAGGTTTGACTTTTATTTCACGCAAAGGAAAACTTTCGCTAGAAATGTTCACCATTCGCTTTTAGAAAATTACCATGGGATCGGTTGAATCTTGCATGCCATCCCAGTTAATGGTGTTCACTAAGTTCCTAAATGTTCTGAAGTTGGTGGTACTAAATATTCTGGTTTTCTTTGGAATTTTATTTCGCTTTTCGTGATAAAGTCGGTACTATTTCCGTCGTAAGAGCTTTTTGATCTGAAATTCTTGAAGGAATAACGTTACAGATTAAATCAGTCTGCTCAATATTACTACAGACATAGTCGATTGATTTTGCTGAATGGCCAGTTGGTGCGTTTACAAAGACTCGAAGTTTAAAGCAAGTTGATAAATTAATGAAAGATTTTGTGTCTCTAGAGGCTTTATCTAGACAGTAACGTTTCCAATAATTTCAAAAATTGGACGGGGTTGCTTGAAGGAGGACGGTACACACAAATTATATAAACATTCATCTTTTTAATGTTTAATATTGAAAATTCAAATTTATTTTGTATAATTAGGTCATTGTAAATATTCAAACTCTCAACTTCGAAGTTATTTATAAACTAGCTGACCCGGCGAACTTCGTACCTTCTCTGAATTATTAAATACCTATTAAATGTTGTGTTAACGTATCTATTAGCTGAATTAAATTCAGTTTTTTTCGATGGTGAATTTGGCTTTGGTCAAAGAAAATTAATTTTTACTCTCTGGATCAGAAGTCACCTAAAATTAAAATTTTACATCATCCCTTTTTAGGCATCTTGTGGGCATTATTCTTATAAAGTGTACCACCAAATAAATAAACTCAGGCACAGGAATGTTCAAAAAATGTAAAGAAAACAAAAAAAATCTCCAGCGCAGCCCTGTTTCATTTTATCTGCACTGCATGCACTGCAATACTCCATCTGTTCTACTGTATCTGCACTATTCTATCTGATCTACTCTTTCTGCACCACTTTATCTGATCGGAATAGTGGAATAGATCTGTTCAGAATAGCTCCAGTTCCTTAGCAGTATTCTGTTCTACTGTATCTGCAATGAAATTACCGCGCAACGGCGAGTTTCGTTCTAGGTACTTATCATATATGGCGCCGTATACAAAATGGTTGTGGCGGACTCATAACCTGGCTCTCTGCCACTCGACACCAGCCGGACGGAGCACTCCGAACAGTCGGCCCGGAACACGGCTGTCAAGGGATGCCTAAGAGGAGAAATGGAACTTAGCCACAGAACGTCAATGGTCAAGCGTCAAGAAATGACAGGGAGACCAGTTCGCGCTCTTTCGGAATGAACGAACCAACAACAAAATAAAATACACAATTAAAACATTGTCATTCTATTTATTTTTGGACATTTTTACTGTGAAGAACAATGAAAAATAAAGTGCTTTCCTCAAATTGTTTTTGTGCAAAGTGTGTGAATAAAATCCACATGGTTTGCAATGAAAATGTGACGGTAAACTTGGTGTTGGTTATAAGAGATGGCGCCGTATGCGGGCTTAGTGAGTTTTTTTCATAAATAAGTAAAATAGATAATTTTTTTTTTGTTTTTTTTTTTTTTTGGATTTTTTCGATTTATTATCCTAGGATGGACAAAGACAAATCCAATAAAGCAAAAATCATAAAAATCAGTACAGCCGTTCTCGAGTTATAAGTGCTCAAATACCAACACAACTGTGTTTTATATATATAGATGTCTCATAAGCCAACACCATTGTGCCTGCATAACCGCTTTCTCTACAAAACTTTGAAATAATTCTATAATTAAAAATAAAACAAATCCCGTCCCCCCTCAGCCAGTGTTCAGTAGTAGAACAAAATTTGGCATCTGCTTTAAATCGGTTAACAGAATAAGTAAATCATCCAACTTCTCACGCGACGATTGGATATTTAATAAAAAAGGGAAAACACGTTTTTAATTAATAAAGTATAAAATCGTTGACCACCAAACAAGCTTATAAAAGAAAATCCAAAATCGAAAAAAACCTTTGAAGACTCAAAGGACATCGCACACATCTTATGGGTTTTCCGGGACAGGTCGATTTTTTTAAAAATTTGGTATGTTGTAGTACTAGTGAAAATAAGTATTTTTCATCATTGCGCCAAATCTCTAACTATACAGGGTGACTCAGTAAAGTGGGTCCGAAAATCATTGCCAAACCTTTCAATTATTGATGTTGGCACGCACTGCAAGCTACATATCGGGATTTTTTTTTCTATTTCGCAAACAAATAGTCTAGATAAGCCTAATATATTATACAGGGTGGCTAAGCTTACGTATTCTTTTAGAAATACTGCCCTATTCTTAGTAATAGTGTTACGAAAAAGGCCGTGCTGGAATTAATTTGCCCGTAACTTTTCCAATTTTTGTCTGATTTCAGAAAATCTGGTCTCAAAATAAACCTTACATCACAAAAGGATGTCATGAAATCTGAAAAAATGACAAATCTCATAGATTTCTTGTGAAGTATCGCCTTTTTTGGCTAGAAACCGTTAATAATTTACATCTGAAGAAGCAAATAATACTCGTAAGATTACAAAGACATGTTGGATGGACATTTGAAATCTGTGTTTAACACAGAACGTTGTGACTAGTGCAAAATATTGAAAATGCCCTACATGAAAGGATTCAAAAAGAAAATCTCCAACTTAGGGGTGGTGGGGTGGGCCTTAAGTCGACTTACATGAAAATTATATTAATTTTTCTATTCTCACTGTTG